CCGTCTGGTTCCTACCCGTCTGGTTCCTCCCCCGTCTGATTCCTCCCCCGTCTGGTTCCTCCCCCGTCTGGTCTCTCCCCCGTCTGATTCCTCCCCCGTCTGGTTTCTCCCCCGTCTGGTTCCTCCTCGTCTGGTTCCTCCCCGTCTGGGTCCTCCCCGTCTCCCAATCAAATGTGGGTTTTTTTCCCCAGCAGAGCCTTCAGATTCATCGAAGATACGTTCAAAGTTAGTTAAATGTTTTTGAAATCATTGACATTTTATTTCGGTAAGTAATCACTGGCTCATTTCGCTAGTTTTAAAAGACAAATTAGTCAGCGATCACGGCAGTCTGGCTATCCCTGATCAAGCCGTCCTTTATCAAAATGATTTTTAACAGCGAATACGGAAAAATTATTCTCGTAAATCTGTTGGTATCTATTTCATTAAAAGAAAATTGTTGAATGAACAGAAGTATATCTAAAAATAGAAAGTTTTAGAAAAAACTCGATATTTGATTAGCAGAAGGTTATTTAACAAACAGGAAATACATAAAAAAAAAAAAAATATTAACAGAAAGTAATTCTGGAGATGAATCGTCTGGGGATGTTAGTGGATTTGTCACACGTATCAAAGAAAACGATGACGGACACTCTCGATATCACAATGGCGCCAGTCATCTACAGCCACAGTTCCGCCTTCGCCTTGTGTAACCATTACCGCAACGTACAGGACGACGTGCTCCGTATGACGGTATGTATACATGTTATCATTACGTACAGGGCGACGTCCTCCGTATGACGGTATGTTTTTATGTTATCATTACGTACAGGGCGACATGCTCCGTATGACGGTGTGTATACATGTTATCATTACGTACAGGATGACGTACTACGTATGACGGTATGTATACGTGTTATCATTACGTACAGGACGACGTACTACGTATGACGGTATGTTTTTATGTTATCATTACGCACAGGACGACGTACTACGTATGACGGTATGTATACGTGTTATCATTACGCACAGAACGACGTATTACGTATGACGGTATGTTTTTATGTTATCATTACGTACAGGACGAAGTGCTCCGTATGACGGTATGTATACCTGTTATCATTACGTACAGGACGACGTCCTCCGTATGACGGTATGTATTTAGGTTATCATTTCGTACAGGACGACGTCCTCCGTATGACGGTATGTTTTTATGTTATCATTACGTACAGGGCGACATGCTCCGTATGACGGTATGTATATATGTTATCATTACGTACAGGACGACGTGCTCCGTATGACGGTATGTTTTTATGTTATCATTACGTACAGGACGACGTGCTCCGTATGACAGTATGTTTTTATGTTATCATTACGTACAGGACGACGTGCTCCATATGACGGTATCTGTTTCTGTTATCATTACGTACAGGGCGACATGCTCCGTATTGCGGTATGTATACGTGTTATCTTTACGTACAGGACGACGTGCTCCATATGACGGTATCTGTTTCTGTTATCATTACGTACAGGGCGACATGCTCCGTATGACGGTATGTATACGTGTTATCTTTACGTACAGGACGACGTGCTCCATATGACGGTATGTATTTATGTTATCATTACGTACAGGACGACGTGCTCCGTATGACGGTATGTATTTATGTTATCATTACGTTCAGGACGACGTCCTCCGTATGACGGTATGTATACATGTTATCATTATGTACAGGACGACGTGCTCCGTATGACGGTATGTATACGTGTTATCTTTACGTACAGGACGACGTGCTCCATATGACGGTATGTATTTATGTTATCATTACGTACAGGACGACGTGCTCCGTATGACGGTATGTATACATGTTATCATTACGTACAGGACGACGTGCTCCGTATGACGGTATGTATACGTGTTATCTTTACGTACAGGACGACGTGCTCCATATGACGGTATGTATTTATGTTATCATTACGTACAGGACGACGTGCTCCGTATGACGGTATGTATACATGTTATCATTACGTACAGGACGACGTACTACGTATGACGGTATGTATACGTGTTATCATTACGTACAGGACGACGTCCTCCGTATGACGGTATGTATTCATGTTATCTTTACGTACAGGACGACGTGCTCCGTATGACGGGATGTATTTATGTTATCATTACGTACAGGACGACGTCCTCCGTATGACGGTATGTATACGTGTTATCTTTACGTACAGGACGACGTGCTCCGTATGACGGTATTATATATGTTATCATTACGTACAGGACGACGTCCTCCGTATGACGGTATGTATACATGTTATCATTACGTACAGGACGACGTTCTCCGTATGACGGTATGTATTTATGTTATCATTACGTACAGGACGACGTGCTCCGTATGACGGTATGTATTTATGTTATCATTACGTACAGAACGACGTACTACGTATGACGGTATGTATACGTGTTATCTTTACGTACAGGACGACGTGCTCCTTATGACGGTATGTATACATGTTATCATTATGTACAGGACGACGTGCTCCGTATGACGGTATGTATACATGTTATCATTACATACAGGATGACGTACTACGTATGACGGTATGTTTTTATGTTATCATTACGTACAGGACGACGTACTACGTATGACGGTATGTATACATGTTATCGTTACGTACAGGGCGACATGCTCCGTATGACAGAATGTATACATGCAAACACTGTATATTATATCGCTTACGGAACAAAGTAATATGCTGACAAACTAAAAGTGTTTACTCGGAGTGTTGTTATTTTCACAGAAAGACAACGGCGGAGTTGTGATGGTCAACTTTTATGATTTATACATCAACTGCTACCCGTCCAACCAGACAACACCTACACTGGACCAGGTAGCAGGTCAGTTCATCAATTCAACATTTACCGTACACATTCATAGAAATACAAGACCAGGTAGCAGGTCAGTTAGTCAATTCAACATTTACCGTTTAAGGATATGGTGGTTGAAATGATGTACCGATTAGTTACTATTAAGGACCTTTCTGCTAAGTATCTCATCAACAAATCAAAGCAATACAGTGTCAACAGTTATCTCCCCTATCTCTGTTACCAAGGTAACCTACCCTACCTCTGTTACCAAGGTTACATCCCCTAGCCCTGTTACCAATGTTACATACCCTACCTCTGTTACCAATGTGACATCATTTACCTCTGTTACCAAGGTTACATCCATTACCACTGTTACCAAGGTTACCTCCCCTACCTCTGTTATCAAGGTTACCTCCCCTACCTCTGTTATCAAGGTTACATCCCCTACCTCTGTTATCAAGGTTACCTCCCCTACCTCTGTTACCAAGGTTACCTCCCCTACCTCTGTTACCAAGGTTACCTCCCTAACCAAGGTTACATATCTTACCTCTGTTACCAAAGTTGCCTCCCCTACCTCTGTTACCAAGGTTACATCTCTTACCACTGTTACCAAGGTTACATATCTTACCACTGTTACCAAGGTTATCTCCCTTACCTCTGTTACCAAGGTTACCTCCCCTACCTCTGTTACCAAGGTTACATTCCCTACCTCTGTTACCAAGGTTACATATCTTACCACTGTTACCAAGGTTACCTCCCCTACCTCTGTTACCAAGGTTACATATCTTACCACTGTTACCTCTGTTACCAAAGTTATCTCCCTTACCAAGGTTACATATCTTACCACTGTTACCAAGGTTACATCCCCTACCTCTGTTACCAAGGTTACCTCCCCTACCTCTGTTACCAAGGTTACCTCCCCTACCTCCCTAACCAAGGTTACATATCTTACCTCTGTTACCAAAGTTGCCTCCCCTACCTCTGTTACAAAGGTTACATCTCTTACCACTGTTACCAAGGTTACCTCCCCTACCTCTGTTACCAAGGTTACCTCCCCTACCTCTGTTACCAGGGTTACATCTCGTACCTCTGTTACCAATGTTATCTCCCTTACCTCTGTTACCAAGGTTACATCTCGTACCTCTGTTACCAAAGTTATCTCCCTTACCTCTGTTACCAAGGTTACATCTCGTACCTCTGTTACCAAGGTTACCTCCCCTACCTCTGTTACCAAGGTTACATCTCGTACCTCTGTTACCAAGGGTACCTCCCCAACCTCAGTTACTAAGGTAACCTCCCCTACCTCTGTTACCAAGGTTACCTCCCTTTCCGCGGTCACCATGGTTTCTTAGTAGACGTCTATCATAAAGTTGTGGGTTTGTTACAACTCGTATTATGTGGAGACTCAAATGTAACCACGAACAGAGAAAAATGCATGCCTCCATTCCAACATTCAATTTTATCAATGTTTTCATTTTGTTCTATAAACTGCAGTTACTTATTTTTTGTCTGGCCTGCAATGGCTGTCGAGGAGGCGTAAACGTTTTTGCGTTTAGCTCTGTTTCTCAAAAGAGTATAGGTAGTAGACCAACAAAACTTGGACCATACATGCGTCTTATATACTTCACCTAAATCCATGCATCAGTTGTTGGATGTGCCCTTTTATTTTGCGGTCCAGTGACTTTCACAGCATTTTCATCAATGTTAAGTTTTTGCATTTAGCTGTGTGTTTTATGCTGTATCTCAAAAAGTTTAAGTGTTGAACTAAATAAACGTGGACTGTAGTTGTTTCAGACAAAGTGTATCTCAAACCCTGCATCAGTTGCTGAGTGTGCCCTATTTTGCGAACTTCAGGTCGAACTAACAATGCTTCACACATTGAATCTTAAGATCAAAGTGGGAACACAGGCGAGACATCTAATTACGTGTTATTCTTTTTGTTTATAAATATATAATTCGTTTTAAAGAACTATTGATTCTGAAGAAAGCGCTTATCAGTGTTCTGGCAATTTCGCCACGCTTTACTAGTAAGCGTGTTATCTTGATGGCATCTACACGTATGTTGTTTGAATTTTAAATGTTGTTAAATTCAAATGAAAACAAACACATATCCACATTTCTACATATGCGGATTATGTCCAAACCTCACACAACGATCCGCATTATATGTGGTGTCGGCAGACATACCATCTAATAACGTAAGTCTTGTCTGCATGCACCATATCATGTATAGTGCATGTAAAACGAACTAGGCTTGTGGAATATTCATCGAACCCGTGCTTATACATTATTCATTCTTTTAGAAAGACGAAATGCTAGCTGAACAGAAAACATACTTCTGTTGAGCAATTTTTTCGAATGCCCATTACAAATAAGAAAAGCGTTTGTTCTACAAGAAAATGTGACTTTTCAATTCGATACACTATTTACACCACCTTATACTAAACTGAATTAACGGCTTCATTCTCATGTAATGGGAGTTTGGTTTTTCCACGAAAGGCGAATGGCATGACAAATAAGTCCTTATAGATTATTTTGTAAAAAAAACAACACGTAACAAAGACCTATATAGACCAGACTGAATTCTTGGTTGACAATACCACGTTTGCAAGATTTCAATTTCATTTTGAGGTACTAACGTATATAAATTATGTATTTGTTTGAGGAAAGGTTATATATCACAATTAGTCAGTGTTTATGTGTGACGTTTCGATGGTTGGTACGGTTGGTACCTAGACCTATCATCTTAATGTATACAAAGGTTTATTAAAATGCAAGTATGTACGACTTGCCATTAACTAATACATACCGATTCGGATACGCTATAAGCGTATGCGCACCGAGTTGTTTCATATGCACGAAATGGCAAATCAAACAGACTAATTGATTCAGCTACACTTTGTTTAATACCTGTGTTAGTGCAGATGAAGGTGGCAGTGCACTTACTGCTTTTTATACATAACCCTTTTTACATTTCATGCTCACCCACCTGGAGAAAATGTTTAGAAATACCGATGATGTATTATTGTCTTCAAATCATACGAAATTTAATCGATCATATATACTCTCCTGAAATGGAAATCAATGGCAATACTGACTCTTCTACATCAGCCGCACGCTGATCTTTACTCACAATATAACCAACGGGAACGGCTTACTACTAAACTGAATGATAATCATTCATTGAACTTTACCTTTCTTAGTAGTAACATCACTGGTTCCTATACTTAAGGTATTTACATATCGATGTTGATTCGATATTCAGGGGCTTGCTCCGAATATCATGATGTCTGAGATAGATGTCGACTGCTGACAAACAAACTTACAACACAGGGTTTCCAAAGATGCAGATATGTGAAGATGATAGACAACTTTAACGGTCGCCTTCAAGATTCTGCTGGCATTACTCTCTGTCCTTGTGTGAGATGAATACAGAAGTAAACCATTTCGCCCATTAGTGATTATTGTGGTTTTGTTGACACTACCCCGGTTTTCTCTTTGACAACATGATATTACACGATTTTGTCTTACAATGAAGCAGAAAGTACTTACCATTCCGGAACACCTGATAAATTCTCCTTTCAACGTTTCAAATATCTTCATTGAAAGTTTTTCCTTTGTTTATATTTTGCCTTTGTTTCATCGATCTTTGGGTTCGAATGACGGTTTTGCTTACACTCATATTGTATTGCCATTTGGACAGTACTACTGCACTGCCATTCATTTGCACAGTACTGATTGTGCGCTTCTTCTTGCGCGCTGTAAGCGTGTATTAGAGAAACCATATCGTTTTAAAAATCTTGCATTAGAATTTTCCCGTTGTTTTCATGCATGTACTCCACGTTATGATTAAGTGTCTCAACAGCAGACTCGCCTTATAGCTTAGAACTGTCGTTATCAACAAAATCTGAACGTCTTAACTCCAACATCTTACGGTTCGGTATGCACCAAGCTTAGGGGAATATGTGATCATCAGAATGATAGCATGACCCTTTCGGATGACAGTATGAATATGTTTGTGTTTCAGATCACATAGAGTATATTAAGAGGCTGATTGGTGTTGACTACGTAGCTATAGGAGCCGACTATGATGGTGTCCCAACGTAAGTATTACGCTGTCAAATACACGGTTTGGGTGGCTACGAGTCGGACAGGGGGTGGTCGACATTTGGACAGGGAACTTGCGACGGCACGATGTAGCCGTTTTAAACAAAGATATTTATTCATAGACCAGGCCGCTTTGCTAATAACAGTCTTTGACAGTAGAGTAAAACAGACTTGTTTGACATCTTTAATTGTGCTCAAACAAGATGAGGATTATATATATTATACGCCTAGAGATTTAACCCTGAAAGTAAGTTTATATGCTTTAGATTCTTCGTACTATATCTATAATTCTAGATATTGCAATCAAAAGTAAGTAGACATGTCACCGTTTTCAGACTTCCTGTGGGACTTGAGGATGTGTCCACCTACCCGGCTCTATTTGCCGAGCTGGTCAGCAGGGGCTGGACACAGGAGGAGCTCACCAAACTGGCTGGGAAGAATCTCATCAGGGTCCTCACCGAAGCGGAGAAGGTAACGTGACGGCTATGTTACACCTCCATGCTCTAAACATACCAAAAGGTCTTCATAGTTTAACACTAAGCGGGATACGTGTTTAGGTAGTTTAATACTGCTGAGAATATGTAAATTACTGGTCATTCTTTTAAGTTCATGAACTTCGTTTTGTTGATAAACTAAGTGATACATTTGTTGGTGCTACGGTTCATGTTAGGTTGTTAGGTCATAGAGGAAAAACTGAGAAATTGAAAGATCTTCCGAGATTATTGATTAATAAAATAATTAAACTTCGAGAGATTATTATGTCTCCCCTTGGAATGAAGGGAGATATATATTTTCAGTGCTGGTTCTTCTACTAATAATGTATTGTCTGGGTCGTAACTTGTAAACCATTAGATGGATCACGAAGAAACGTGTAGTGTACCATCATCACCCACAGATGATGTGCAGTGCACTGTCATTAGGTCACCGTGACCTCGATCTCTAGGTCAAAGGTCAAATAAGTGCAAACTTTTCAGTTGTAAATTTTGAACTTTAATGGTATTGTGACCTTCCACGTCATAACTTTTTAGTTCACAAAACAAGCCTGGAGTTGATAGAAGTTTTAGAGTGACTGTCAGGAAAGTTAACACTGACTATAAGAATTCGGAATAAGATTCGTCAGTTTGGTATGAATAATAAAGGCTAAGTTTGTCTTGAACACAAACAGGAATTAAAAACTTATTTTGCGAGCTTTCAAAAACGTATGTTCCCTTTGTCAAGCAAAGAGTGCATTATTAGAAGATTTAATGGGAAAAAGAAAGGTTGAAAGAATATTTAACAACTGATTATTGACGTAAGATTGAAACCCCGGGATGGTTTTTTTATCATTAGAAGTGTCACTGCTGTTGTTGGGTTACAGGTACGTGACCGCCTGGCGTACATGAGTCCGTACGAAGACGAGCTACCCCTGGGTGGACTATTTCCTAATCAGACAGACTGCTGGTCATGATGTCATGGTGACCCGGGGAACGCATTATGACGATGGCTTTCTACAGAGTAGTAATACTATAAACATTACCGTGATGTATGGAGATTACTGGTACAATTCTTGCTGGTTAAGTATTTTGTGACATATGACGATTCATTAAAGAAATTATAATAATGCCAGTTAATATAACTGTGATGTATGGAGATTACACTGATGTTTGTTGACAATCTGGTAACCAATGAAATGATAGGGATGCTGGTTTGCCGCTCCGGTGATTTATGGATCAGTGTATTCACTAACACGGCCTATATATTAGCCTAGGTCTCGGGTGTGCTGTTCTTTATTAGTTGATGAAGACTGAGACAGATCTCCAGACTGTTTATCTGTAGAAATCATATTGCTCTTTATAGTATTATTTTTTTAATTGTCTGTAGTTATGTATATTAAGGAGAGTATTCTGTAGATTTTGACATTTGTCTCATGATTTAACAATATGAATTCACTGAGAGGCTTAAGTAAAAACAAGCAAGCAGACGGACAAAAACATGGACAGGCCAATTCCAGTGTTGACCCACTCTAAAACTCCGTTTGGGCACTAAACCTACTTCAGTAAGGCGACAATTTGAACAAGTTAAACAAAAATCTCTAATTTTGAACTATTTGGCTTAAATGTATACATTTATCTAAAAAACGAAATACCAGGGAAAAGAAACGAAGAATAACGAAAGTGACGTTTTACCTCAATGCGTCGCCTGTGACTCCGCATTGGGGTCCAGGTAATACACCACGCTATAGTTTCCATCTCCTGTAGCAGGAAATGTCTTCTTGTAACCATTTCCACCTATTTGTGACCTTTGACCGGGTTTTGAACAATATCACAAGCCATGCCGTGTACAAGTATATTTCTGTAAAAATGTCCAGTAAAATGCCCAGTTATGCAGAGATTGTACTCGCCTTATCTTCCTAAATTTAACATTGTAGACAGGTCGCGGGTGGCGGGTGTCATCGATGAAACAGAGGACCCTTACCCTTCTGGAACACCTGTTCCATAATATCTGGAACACCTGCTCCATAATATCTGGAACTACTGTTCCAGAATACCTGAAGTTTTGATTAAAGTTTTTTTTTTTTTATAATAAACGCCATCCATGTTGTTTGTCATACTTTTGTGTATTTCGATCTGTTGAGAAAATCTGTTTGCAAGCAATAAGTAATTTGAAAATAATTGCTATTTGTTGCATTAATTTTGAATGATTTATTAAAAAACTGAAATGCATGAAGTGTCTTCAAATTAAATCTAGTGAAAATAAAACATTTCTAAACATTTTGTTCTTTTTCTTCTAAACACCATTTTCCAGCATATACAATATATTGCGTACCCCTCTCACTAGATAGTAGATAAATTATAACAAATTTTGATAGCTTTTGGCTTCCATTTCATCTTCTCAGCAAGAGCTTTTTATGGTGCCAGCAAGTATTGTGCACACATATCATCACACTGGGTGTTAACAGATAGGTTTTTACAAAATATATAGTAGATAAAGCTAAATAGGCAGTCAACACCAAGTCGGTAGAAACTGAAAGGGCTGACAAGAGCAGGGTGTGCAGAGCATTATACGCCCTCAACCAATTGGAGGAATTGGTGTCATTTGTATATGTTGGTGCATGCTACAATAATTCACTGCCACGTGAGTATTAAACCATACCAGTTTTTAGTTGTCTCTACGGCTGGTCTTTTACCTGTCCGACGAATTGCAGTCACAAACTTCACACTACCAGAAAGTGTTCCCAACAGAAAAATCTAAGCTGCAAAGGCCTATTATTTCTGCGAGTGTATAAGGGAAAATGGGTTGTCAACTGAGAATTCTTGGCGTGAGGTTCCTTGGACAGAGAATGAAAGCTGGATGTAATGTTAATTATGTTTTATTTACCATGTTAATATATATATATATATTATCTACATCTAGCAACAAGTAACACCTAGATCACACACTTATACAACATAAACATTGGCCTCAACAGCAGCCAACTACACAAACATAGCAATCAAATCCTAACATCTCAGTACCATTACCTGTAAACTAATGACAATTCCCTGTACACTGTACTGACAATGAATGGAGCATCAAATCTATTTTCCATATCATTTAGGAAACTCAAACAGGCATTTTACTTGTGTCTATCAAAATTTGTGTAATGATAAATCTTAAGAATAAAAAATTGAAGTAACATAATAAACATAGTTACGATCAGTCAATGTTACTGGTCCTAATCACTAACTCAACATTGTAATTTATCACTAGAGTCATTACGTTGGGTAAGTTTGAAACATACTAAAAAACATTGTTCTGTATTTCAAACATGAGGTCCATAGGGTCTGTATCGCTCACCTGGATATTTATTTCCAAATTTTGGTTCTGTCTCTCAGCATCCAAGGAGACAAAACCCTTCCTTTAAACAACATTTGAATGTCTGGTCGACAGGATACCTTCAGTAAATGTAGTTAAAATGTGATCAACTGTTAAGGGGGAGTAGACTTTCAAATACTTAAACAACCAAATTACCATGCTCAACAAGAGGGAGCTCAACTCTCTCTTTACACAACAAAGGATTCCCAAGTCAAAAATGCTTCATATGAAATAAGGTTAATGTAGGAATAGATAAGTATATGGTTACAGGGAAGGCACTTCAACTATCTCCATGTTATGATCAAGGGACTACATCTCCTGGGGCAGGGAAGGCCCCAGGGGCCAATCATTGTAGCATGAGTGTATTTGACTCTTCGTACCATGAAACTAGTCCCAATGGGCGAGCAGTACTCCTCCAGCAATTATGGTAGCATTAGTGAATGATTTTTCTTCCTGCCCAGGGATTGTTAATAGTTATCGGATCGAGATCCCTACTGGTTCTGTGTTATAACCCAGGGACAGATCCAAACCCCTGGACCAAGTCTGATAGCATTACTGTGTTATTTTTTTAGTACCCAGAAATCCTCTTATATGTTAATATGGTTATAGGGTTGATATATCGGCTGCTAAATGTTGACTGATGGATAAACGGACGATGCACCACTGCATAAACTTATCTGGCCCTATATGCTCAGTAACTTTCCCTTACAAAAGCTATGATTCAAATTAGTGCTTTCCTGAGAGCTGTTCTTATAGAAGGCATGTTTTAGAAGGTTTCCCATTAACTATATGTTTTAAGACTTTGTATTCTATGACAATTTACACTTTTCAGGAATTTTGTAGAAGGTATTGATTACACACTCTTCAGTTTCTATCTCAATATTGTGATATGGTTATTCCTGTCTTACTTCCAATTTGGCAGATAAAACCCAACAGTATTAACACAAAAATATCTCATCAACCAATTTCAACAGGAAATTAAAAAAACTCTTTGTAAATGTATTCAATCTGTATCAACACGAAACAATAGATATTAAAAGAAAAACATCTTGGTTACACCAGAGCTATGTTAAACCAAGGTAAAAAGCTACTGGGTTCCAAGAGATGCCCAAACATTCAGAAAAATGGCCAAGTCTGATGATTAATGCCCTTCAGGATCACCAATCTGAATCATAGCTATTGTTTACTTACGATCCCCCTAAAATCTGAATCATAGCTATTGTTTACTTACTGTCCCCCTAAAATCTGAATCATAGCTATTGTTTGCTTACTGTCCCCCTAAAATCTATTATCTACATCAGTGTAAAAAAAAATACTTGGCATTGTAAGGATATAAATGCAATGATCTGGTCATAATACTTGCGATAACATTTTGAAAACAAAATCAAGTATACAAGTATATCTTGATCATCTACAACAGTTTTAAAGGTACCTTTTAATATCGTATTGGCTAAAAAAAAAATTTTTAGGAAGCAACAAGAAGAAAATAAATGTAAACCACATTCCAGGTAATGCCACATTTTCCCTATAACATGATGTTCAGGGTATCATACCATATACAGGTGAACTATAACATTACTCTAACAAACAAAAAACATTTCTCTACAGGTTAATTAAGTCAAAGCTGAGATAAAACCACCCTCATGAAGTCCAAAAAGTGGTCTCTTAACACAGGTGGTCTCCTAATACAGGTGATCTCTTAATACAGTTGGTGATCATATGAGGAGGTTTGTACTGCATTTCACATGTATTCTGTCGGTAAACTGATACCAATCGTTGTGTGTTTGAACAGTAAACGATGATGTCATCAATACATGTGTGTTCCAACAGTAAACGATGATGTCACCAATCCATGTGTGTTCCAACAGAAAATGATGATGTCACCAATATGTGTTCCAACAGTAAATGATGATGTCACCAATCTATGTGTATTCCATTAGTATACTGATGATATTACCAACACAGTAATTCACCTGTAGAACATTTGCTTTAACCAAGGCATGTAGCAGGTTTTTGTTGTACACAGTATACTCATATAAAACACATGACAAGGCACATAATACAAAACATCCTAAGGCACAGGGTATAATACTGTAGCTAAGTACACAGTGTACAACCTCGTCATTTAGTCACCTCTCGGTCCTAAGGCACAGGGTATAATACTGTAGCTAAGTACACAGTGTACAACCTCGTCATTTAGTCACCTCTCGGTCCTAAGGCACAGGGTATAATACTGTAGCTAAGTACACAGTGTACAACCTCGTCATTTAGTCACCTCTCGGTCCTAAGGCACAGGGTATAATACTGTAGCTAAGTACACAGTGTACAACCTCGTCATTTAGTCACCTCTCGGTCCTAAGGCACAGGGTATAATACTGTAGCTAAGTACACAGTGTACAACCTCGTCATTTAGTCACCTCTCGGTCCTAAGGCACAGGGTATAATACTGTAGCTAAGTACACAGTGTACAACCTCGTCATTTAGTCACCTCTCGGTCCTAAGGCACAGGGTATAATACTGTAGCTAAGTACACAGTGTACAACCTCGTCATTTAGTCACCTCTCGGTCCTAAGGCACAGGGTATAATACTGTAGCTAAGTACACAGTGTACAACCTCGTCATTTAGTCACCTCTCGGTCCTAAGGCACAGGGTATAATACTGTAGCTAAGTACACAGTGTACAACCTCGTCATTTAGTCACCTCTCGGTCCTAAGGCACAGGGTATAATACTGTAGCTAAGTACACAGTGTACAACCTCGTCATTTAGTCACCTCTCGGTCCTAAGGCACAGGGTATAATACTGTAGCTAAGTACACAGTGTACAACCTCGTCATTTAGTCACCTCTCGGTCCAGTTATGAGTATAACATCTTAATTTCACTATTGATGATAATGTTTAACTTATTCTACTAAACATGATGAAAGTAGAAAATGTACAGCTCTACACATCTCCTTGTCAACATTTTATGTTTAAGGTAAAGGGTACCAACATATTATATTATATTATTACCATGGTACCAACATATTATATAATATTATTACCATGGTATCAACATATTATATTATATTATTACCATGGTACCAACATATTATATAATATTATTACCATGGTATGAACATATTATATAATATTATTACCATGGTATCAACATATTATATTATATTATTACCATTGTATCAACATATTATATTATTACCATGGTATCAACATGTGATATTATAATATTACCATGGTATCAACATATTATATTATATTATTACCATGGTATCAACATGTTATATTATAATATTACCATGGTATCAACATATTATATTATAATATTACCATGGTATCAACATATTATATTATTACCATGGTATCAACATGTGATATTATAATATTACCATGGTATCAACATGTGATATTATAATATTACCATGGTATCAACATATTATATCATATTATTACCATGGTACCAGCAAATATATTATATTATTACCATGGTATCAACATGTTATATTATATTATTACCATGGTATCAACATGTTCGGCCCGAGGGCTAATATTGCAGTCTCGGGTTGATACTGGGTGTGATATGGAAAAAGGCATGTTTTATTATGTTTATTACATACTTACTAATAAAAACTACTATCTTATGATTTATTTTTATTTTCAAAATATTGAAAAACGATTTTTTTTCCCAAAGGGTTGTGATATGGGTTTTGCGGGCTGATACGGGTTTTGGGGTGTGATATGGCGGGGGCTGATACGGGTTTTGGGGTGTGATACGGCGAGGGCTGATATGGGTTAGAGCAATTGTGTCAAATCGCATATACAAAAAAGAGGCCCAATGCTCATCGCTCACCTGGTATTAATCTCACACTTGTAATCTTAAAAGTGGACTAAAATACAGCTACAGGCAGAATATCAGTGTTTGATTCATAGATAAGAACATTTAAAGAAGATTTAAACATATGACGCCTGTGACCTTGAATGTCGAACAAGGACATCAGGTTGAAAGTGGATCAAGGTCATTCATTTGATTAAACTTGGTAGTCCTTCATCCCAGCATGCTACAGGCCTAATTTCAGTACCCTGGGCCTTTTAGTTATTGAGAAGAAGTTGTTTGAAGATTTTAAGACATTTGACCCATTTGACCTTGAAAGTTGGTCAAGATCGTTCATTTTAACAAACTTGGTAGCCCTTCATCCCAGCATGCTACAGGTTCAATATCAGTACCATTGGCCTTTTGGTTATTGAGGAGAAGTTGTTGGAAGATTTTAAGACATCGGACCCCAGTGACCTTGAAAGTTGATCAAGGTCATTTATTTTAACAAACTTGGTAGCCCTTCATCCCAGCATGCTACAGGCCTAATATCAGTACCCTGGGCCTTTTGGTTATTGAGAAGAAGTTGTTTAAAGTAAAAAGTTGACGCCGGACAGACGGACGCCGGATGCCGGACGGACGGACGGACGACAGACAACGCACCATAACATAAGCTCACTTGCCCTTCAGGCAGGTGAGCTAAAAACCCGTATTTATTAGTAAGTATGTAATAAATTATATTATTACCATGGTACTAACAAATTATATTATATTATTACCACAGTCACTTTACCAAAGTTGTTGCCCAGGAATTATTATTTCACAGCATCTGAATGAACTTATGGGTCACAAAGCCTGTGAAACAATTAACACTAAAAGATACATTACTTGTCAGGGCAAAGTCCGAGAATACACTTAAGTGGTATGGACTGTACCTTGAAGAAGAAGAAGAATGACAGAAAAGCTCTGAGACAGTGAGAGCTGTCTCTGAGTGGAACTGGTAACCATAGCAGTGATACCCTTTTCCTTAAATCATTTATAACAGATATAACATTGGCCTGGTCTCTTAACGACCAGTAAGAGTATATTCATGTACGTCACAGAAATTAGCACTTAATAACACAATATAAAATTAGGCAGTCAACGGTACTTCAACCCAATGTTATAATGAGATATGTATTCCATGATTTGTGCCAAAAATTTGTACCGGTATAAAGCTCATCGCAACACTACTACCATGGTCACAACAAAATTTAATTCCTTCCTTGTATTTACAATTTTAGGATTGTTGATGTATAGAAATTATAGCACACCATCATTAGAAATTATCTCAATGTTGCATCAAAGTCCCTATTATTCAATGTATATTTTAGAATATTTTTCAACAGATGTTATCTTGTCTCATCAATACAGAGAGACAGGTGTGTTGTCTTGTCTGTCTCATCAATACAGAGTGACAGGTGTATTATCTTGTCTCATCAATACAGAGATACAGGTGTGTTATCTTGTCTCATTAATACAGAGGGACAGGAGCGTTATCTTGTCTCATTAATAGAGAGGGACAGGTGTGTTATCTTGTCTCATAAATACAGAGATACAGGTGTGGTACCTTGTCTCATCAATACAGAGATACAGGTGTGTTACCTTGTCTCATTAATACAGAGTGACAGGTGCGTTATCTTGTCTCATTAATAGAGAGTGACAGGTGTGTTATCTTGTCTCATCAATAGAGTGACAAGTGTGTTGGCTTTTCTCATCAACGCAAAGTGGCCAGGTGCGTTTGGCTTGCATAGCAAAGTTAAAGATTCACAATAATACAGACTAACATATAATATCCACTTACTATGTATGATCTGGTCACAAATCAAACACCATGTATATGGTCTAATAGCAACACAAATATCTATCAAAGTTAAAAATTGCACTATTTATGTTGTGGTCCTTTAAAAAACCCATTTGTAGAATATCTAACAACAGCAATAATCATAGATAAAAACAAGTCTAACTTTAACATGGTCCTGTTGTCAATACTGCTGTAACAGCTTCAGACTACTGAGGGGAGGTAACTCTACGCCAATCCTACAACATCCTCTGTAGCAGGATCAACTACATTTATGTAACTAAAAAATTCACTGAGGTACTTAGCAAACTTCTGATTGGTCAAACATATGTAGAATAACAGTGTCGTACAACACCTTGAAGTATAATACCGTGCTTAATCTCAAGGATGAAGGACAGATTATGAATGTATTTTCACACAAACACTGGACTTTGTCTCATAGTTTCTTATTACAACTGACTCCAGTGTGTGTTTAACTTTTAATGTTTATGATTACAGATAGAAATGGCCGCAACAGATGTGATTGACAGATGAGGTGTTGATAACATAAAAGCAATGCTTAATTGACTGTTGTACTCAAAATAATGGTCGCTCTGTTTACCATACTCAAATAATGGTCTTTCTGTTTACCATACACACAAAATAATGGTCGCTCTGTTAACCATACTCAAATAATGGATATTTTTGATCTCACAAAAAAAAACATTTTTTTTTTTAACACTATAAGCATTAATGAAAGTAAGGAAATGTTCATGTTATCTTCGTGTTGGATAAAAAAAAAAACTGCAGTCCCCGAGTGCTCTGGTTTATGCATTGAATATGAATTAGCAAAATGCGCTGGAGACATAATTTTTTTACTTGAGTCGAAAAACAGGTTAAACATTTTGCATCCCCCCATTTCTTTGTTGACAGCACTGCATCAATTTTGAAGCTCTAGGGAACCTACATGCCAGAAAGCTCTAGGGAACCTACATGACAGAAAGCTCTAGGGAACCTACATGCCAGAAAGCTCTAGGGAGCCTACATTCCAGAAAGCTCTAGGGAACCTACATGCCAGAAATCTCTAGGGAACCTACATGCCAGAAATCTCTAGGGAACCTACATGCCAGAAATCTCTAGGGAACCTACATGCCAGAAAGCTCTAGGGACCCTACATGCCAGAAAGCTCTAGGGACCCTACATGCCAGAAAGCTCTAGGGAGCCTCCATGCCAGAAAGCTCTAGGGAACCTCCATGCCAGAAAGCTCTAGGGAACCTACATGACAGAAAGCTCTAGGGAACCTACATGACAGAAAGCTCTAGGGAACCTACATGCCAGAAATCTCTAGGGAACCTACATGCCAGAAAGCTCTAGGGAGCCTACATGCCAGAAAGCTCTAGGGAACCTACATGCCAGACATATCAATTCTAGTACAGATACTGAAGGTTATATAAAGGACTTTCAACACCTTTATTGAAATTTTAACCAAGTTTATGGAGATACTGTCTCTGGGGTAACTACATAAGTCTCCCATTGATCAACAGGACTGTCCAGAAATTCTGTTTGTTTAGGTTTTATATCCTATCAACAGCTATTGTCAATAAAGGATGTGCCAGGTTTTGGTAGTGGAGGAAAGCCAGAAATCCCTGAGAAAAACAACCGACCTTGGCTAGTGAGGGTAGACAGTCACATGACTGAACTACTCGGTCACTGTGCCGAACCCCGAAATTTTGATGTAAAAAAAGTTGTAAAATGTCTATGGAAAAGTTGTTGTTTTTCCCCACAAACTCCTAAAAGACAATTTGTTTAAATGGATACAATCTACAGTGTACATTATGTGAAAATAAAATAATCACATGGCATCTAGTTAATCCTGATCTACAGACTCTAGTTAATCCTGATCTACAGACTATGGTTAGACCTGATCTACAGACCCTAGTTAGTCCTGATCTACAGACTCTAGTTAGTCCTGATCTACAGACTCTAGTTAATCCTGATCTACAGACTCTAGTTAATCCTGATCTACAGACTATGGTTAGACCTGATCTACAGACTCTAGTTAGTCCTGATCTACAGACTCTAGTTAGTCCTGATCTACAGACTCTAGTTAGTCCTGATCTACAGACTCTAGTTAGTCCTGATCTACAGACTCTAGTTAGTCCTGATCTACAGACTCTAGTTAGTCCTGATCTACAGACTCTAGTTAGTCCTGATCTACAGACTCTAGTTAGTCCTGATCTACAGACTCTAGTTAGTCCTGATCTACAGACTCTAGTTAGTCCTGATCTACAGACTCTAGTTAGTCCTGATCTACAGACTCTAGTTAGTCCTGATCTACAGACTCTAGTTAGTCCTGATCTACAGACTCTAGTTAGTCCTGATCTACAGACTCTAGTTAGTCCTGATCTACAGACTCTAGTTAGTCCTGATCTACAGACTCTAGTTAGTCCTGATCTACAGACTCTAGTTAGTCCTGATCTACAGACTCTAGTTAGTCCTGATCTACAGACTCTAGTTAGTCCTGATCTACAGACTCTAGTTAGTCCTGATCTACAGACTCTAGTTAGTCCTGATCTACAGACTCTAGTTAGTCCTGATCTACAGACTCTAGTTAGTCCTGATCTACAGACTCTAGTTAGTCCTGATCTACAGACTCTAGTTAGTCCTGATCTACAGACTCTAGTTAGTCCTGATCTACAGACTCTAGTTAGTCCTGATCTACAGACTCTAGTTAGTCCTGATCTACAGACTCTAGTTAGTCCTGATCTACAGACTCTAGTTAGTCCTGATCTACAGACTCTAGTTAGTCCTGATCTACAGACTCTAGTTAGTCCTGATCTACAGACTCTAGTTAGTCCTGATCTACAGACTCTAGTTAGTCCTGATCTACAGACTCTAGTTAGTCCTGATCTACAGACTCTAGTTAGTCCTGATCTACAGACTCTAGTTAGTCCTGATCTACAGACTCTAGTTAGTCCTGATCTACAGACTCTAGTTAGTCCTGATCTACAGACTCTAGTTAGTCCTGATCTACAGACTCTAGTTAGTCCTGATCTACAGACTCTAGTTAGTCCTGATCTACAGACTCTAGTTAGTCCTGATCTACAGACTTTAGTTAGTCCTGATCTACAGACTCCAGTTTGTCCTGATCTACAGACTCTAGTTAGTCCTGATCTACAGACTCTAGTTAGTCCTGATCTACAGACTCTAGTTAGTCCTGATCTACAGACTTTAGTTAGTCCTGATCTACACACTCCAGTTTGTCCTGATCTACAGACTCTAGTTAGTCCTGATCTACAGACTCTAGTTAGTCCTGATCTACAGGCTCTAGTTAGTCCTGATCTACAGACTTTAGTTAGTCCTGATCTACAGACTCCAGTTTGTCCTGATCTACAGACTCTAGTTAGTCCTGATCTAGACTCTAGTTAATCCTGATCTACAGACTCTAGTTCGACCTGATCTACAGACTCTAGTTAGTCCTGATCTAGACTCTAGTTAATCCTGATCTACAGACTCTAGTTAGTCCTGATGTACAGACTCTAGTTAATCCTGATCTACAGACTCTAGTTAGACCTGATCTACAGACTCTAGTTAGTCCTGATCTACAGATTCTAGTTAGTCCTGATCTACAGACTCATTTTCTAACCAGAGATGCCAACAAATAGTTCAATGAAATACTGCTCACTTGACATTTAAACCTGTTTACAAAATCAGTAAGTGTACTGGTACTGTAGCTGCTTGTTATCAATAAACTTGGAACCTGACATGAAAACACAAACCCATACTAGCCATAACTTCTTACTTTGAAGGAAGACTCCTGATCAGCTGATTTCCCATATCATTTTACAAACTTGAATTCAATTAATGTATATTTGTTGCATAAAACACTTGAATAGTAAATGGAAAGACACCAACAATTAGGCCAAATAAAACCTAGTCCTTAGTTTCTCAGCCACACATATTTATATCCTTGTATTACAGAGTTTATTGCCAAATTATTAATTTTTTAAATGCCCAGTGGAATGAAGTATCCAGTGTCTGCCTTATTATATATTTGAGAAATACAATACGTAGTGGTATTAAGTTTTCAAATGAGTTACATGAGAAATTAAAAATTAAATCTAATTTGGCCATAAGCTAGCTAGCGCTGTATACATTTATAAGTTATCCAGCCAAACATGAAGTCTCTGATATGTACAATTATCATCACTGATATGATGCATGTAAAATTAGCATTAAATACATTATAGTTATTTAAAAGCGAGCAAGCTCAAGCTGTTTCATGTTATAAATAGTTTCTTCATTTCTTCAAAATGAATGATTGAACAGTTTGTAACTGTTTCAATTTATTCTACCTTTACCTTTATAAATGAATGAAATGGTGAGAACAATTGATATTTTGCAGCAATTATAGAAAAAATAGTTTCATATTAATTAGTATGATATATAAATAACTAGAAAATAACAAATCCAGGAGTTACCTCCCTTGCATTACTAAACTGATTTGCTACTAATTCATATATTGGCATGTTATTATCATGGTAACATTTTGACACTATAACTGGCATTGAGTGAGTGTAATATTTGCTAAAGCTGTAACTAAGACATTTATCAACTATAACTTTAGATATGTATTGGTAGTACCCTGGACGACTACAACCGGGTATCATATATGTGTCGGGGGCCCCCCCTTGTTACTGTTGACATCCTGCTGAGCTGAAGATTGGCACTCTGGTGAACAACACACAACGTGAACTTTCTTTGTGTCATCAAAGTCTGAATCGTCCTTTGTTCGGCCATCGTCTGTAGAATTGCACTTGTACATACGATTTGTAGAAATGATCTCTAAGTGAGTCCTGTACACCTTATCACTTCCCTCCGTTCTAGTACTTTCTTTTTCACACACTTCACTTTGGTTTTTACCACTATGACTGAGGTTTGTAGTTTGCTGAGCACCACTTTTAAGTCTGTTCTCTATATCATCCTCATTGTCCTTTTCATCCTCGCTCTTCATCGTTGAGTCATTGTCCTTTTCATCCTCGCTCTTCATCGTTGAGTCATTGTCCTTTTCATCCTCGCTCTTCATCATTGAGTCATTGTCTTTCTCATCCTCACTCTTCATTGCAGAGTCGCTAAAGCTCACAGAGTCACTACAACTTTCGTTGAGTAGAGACTCACAGGAGCCTGCAGAGTCCTTCTGAGTTTCCAGATGACTTCCCATGGCGCTGTCAGCCACTGGAGCGATCTGCTGGTCCAGCAAGTCAGCACTTTTTAACCAGGAGTGTTCTAAACACTGTTTAGCTGTTAATCTCTCACTGTCAACAAAACAATCAGTAGGTCAATCAGTAACAAAGATCAAAATCAGAGATGATGTCACTAGGGTGATAAAAAAAATCTATAAAAAGAACGAAACTTTGACCTCTTGGCATCTTGAAAGGGAAACTCATCTAAAGCATTCTTACACTTTACCGTTGTATTTTGTTTCATTAATTTCCATTCAGAAATGATGATGTTGTTAGAGTAACAATTTGTTTTTATAAATAATAGCAGTACCTTCCATTTTGCCAGTAACACTTAATATTACTGGAAAAAACATGTACTTTTAAATAACCTTTTAACTTAATGGTTCCACATCTCAATGGAAACCATTACTATGAGAGCTTAGGTGTTGTAAAATGGCAAATTCTCAAGAACAAACACAACTCTCTGTAGGAGTTATCTGCCTCTACTCTTAAGTAGCCTCCCCTGTCCACTAACCTTGGTTCCTTGACCAGTAGGAGTCTGATGAAGTCCTGGGCTCCAGGTGAGATGTGGGAGAACAGATTGTCAGGGAAGTCCAGGTTTACCTGAGATATGTTGAGAAACGTCTCATTCTGGGTCTTACCACTGAAGGGGGAGCAGGCTGTCAGCATCACATATGTCAGCACTCCTAGGCTCCTAAATAAATAGCATCACATAAATAGGCATCATCATCAATACAGGTGTAATTACAGATATAGATGTCATCAAAATACAGGTGTAATTACAGATATAGATGTCATCAAAATACAGTATAATTACAGATATAGATGTCATCAAAATACAGGTGTAATTACAGATATAGATGTCATCAAAATACAGGTGTAAAATTTCATCACGATTAGTATTACAGGTGTTACAATTGTCATCATAATTTGTTTTCGCCTTTTTAATCCTTAATGAATCATTGACTGAAACTAGAACAATGTCTGAGAATTTTTTCTTACTCAAAATCTAAATAGTTCATCTATTGATAGTTACTTTCAGTTTGACGTTAAAGTCATTTGACTCGCAATGTTTAAATGTAACATTGTTTCATCTGAATATGAATGAAAATGAGGAAGGCAGAAAAATAAGCTTTTTCTATTTGAAGTAACAGTGATTTTAACCTTTGTGCAAGGATCTGTAAATAAATGTGAACTCTCTTGTAGTATTGGATACTTTATGAAGTTTCATCCTAATCCCTGTTGCAGAGTTTTGAGTAATGGCGACTGGACAGACAGGGTAACATGGGCAATGTTACCTCCAAACTCCACGTCAGTGTATAGAAAACACTGATTTTGTTTTTGTTTTACAAATTAACACACAAGCTGTACTCACCACATGTCGGTGTAGAGACCAAGGGGGTCATAACTCAAAACTTCGGGTGCTGAAACAACACAAGGTAATGTAAGTACATGTACCAAACAACACAGCAAGTGTACCAAACAACACAAGGTAATGTTAGTACATGTACCAGACAACACAGCAAGGTAATGTAAGTACATGTACCAGACAACACAATGTAATGTTAGTACATGTACCAGACAACACAAGGTAATGTAAGTACATGTACCAGACAACACAGCAAGGTAATGTAAGTACATGTACCAGACAACACAGCAATGTAATGTAAGTACATGTACCAGACAACACAAGGTAATGTTAGTACATGTACCAGACAACACAAGGTAATGTAAGTACATGTACCAGACAACACAGCAAGGTAATGTAAGTACATGTACCAGACAACACAGCAAGGTAATGTAAGTACATGTACCAGACAACACAGCAAGGTAATGTAAGTACATGTACCAGACAACACAGCAAGGTAATGTAAGTACATGTACCAGACAACACAGCAAGGTAATGTAAGTACATGTACCAGACAACACAGCAAGGTAATGTAAGTACATGTACCAGACAACACAGCAAGGTAATGTAAGTACATGTACCAGACAACACAACAAGGTAATGTAAGTACATGTACCAGACAACACAGCAAGGTAATGTAAGTACATGTACCAGACAACACAGCAAGGTAATGTAAGTACATGTACCAGACAACACAGCAAGGTAATGTAAGTACATTTACCAGACAACACAAGGTATTGTAAGTACATGTACCAGACAACACAGCAAGGTAATGTAAGTACATGTACCAGACAACACAGCACGGTAATGTAAGTACATATACCAGACAACACAAGGTATTGTAAGTACATGTACCAGTACATGTACCAGACAACACAGCAAGGGAATGTAAGTACATGTACCAGACAACACAGCAAGGTAATTTAAGTACATGTACCAGACAACACAGCAATGTAATGTAAGTACATGTACCAAACAACATAAGGTAATGTTAGTACATGTACCAGACAACACAAGGTAATGCAAGTACATGTACCAGACAACACAGCAAGGTTAATGTAAGTACATGTACCTGACAACACAGCAAGGTAATGTAAGTACATATACCAGACAACACAGCAAGGTAATGTAAGTACATGTACCAGACAACACAGCAAGGTAATGTAAGTACATGTACCAGACAACACAAGGTATTGTAAGTACATGTACCAGACAACACAGCAATGTAATGTAACTACATGTACCAGACAACACAGCAAGGTAATGTAAATACATGTACCAGACAACACAAGGTAATGTAAGTACATGTACCAGACAACATAAGGTAATGTAAGTACATGTACCGACAACACAAGGTATTGTAAGTACATGTACCAGACAACACAGCAAGGTAATGTAAATACATGTACCAGACAACACAAGGTCATGTAAGTACATTTACCAAACAACACAGCAATGTAATGTAAGTACATGTACCAGACAACACAGCAAGGTAATGTAAATACATGTACCAGACAACACAAGGTAATGTAAGTACATTTACCAAACAACACAGCAATGTAATGTAAGTACATGTACCAGACAACACAAGGTAATGCAGGTACATGTACCAAACAACACAGCAAGGTAATGTAAATACATGTACCAGACAACACAAGGTAATGTAAGTACATTTACCAAACAACACAGCAATGTAATGTAAGTACATGTACCAGACAACACAAGGTAATGCAGGTACATGTACCAAACAACACAGCAAGGTAATGTAAATACATGTACCAGACAACACAAGGTAATGTAAGTACATTTACCAAACAACACAGCAATGTAATGTAAGTACATGTACCAGACAACACAAGGTAATGCAGGTACATGTACCAAACAACACAGCAAGGTAATGTAAATACATGTACCAGACAACACAAGGTAATGTAAGTACATTTACCAGACAACACAAGGTAATGTAAGTACATTTACCAAACAACACAGCAATGTAATGTAAGTACATGTACCAGACAACACAGCAATGTAATGTAAGTACATGTACCAAACAACACAGCAAGGTAATGTAAGTACATGTACCAGACAACACAGCAAGGTAATGTAAGTACATGTACAAGATGTAATATGACGTCATGTCAACAATGCATCAATGTCATGACAATCCCATCACAAATAATAGTATGACGTCATGTGAACAATACATAAATGTCATGCCAGCACATCATCACAAATAATAGTTTAACTTATGTGAACAATGCATCAATGTCATGACAATCCCATCACAAATAATAGTATGACGTCATGTGAACAATGCATCAATGTCATGACAATACCATCACAAATAATAATAATATGACGTCATGTCAACAATGCATCAATGTCATGACAGCACATTATCACAAATAATAGTTTAACTTATGTGAACAATGCATCAATGTCATGACAATCCCATCACAAATAAAAGTATGATGTCATGTGAACAATGCATTAATACCATGACAACCATATCACAAATAATAGTATGACGTCATGTGAACAATGCATCAATGTCATGACAGCAATACTGTAATACCACGTCCACAAAGTAATATAACGATAGGGGCAACAGGGTAAGTGTAAAAATAATCATCCCCCCACAGGAGTGACAGGGGGAATCTCAACCCCATAGGGGTGACGGGGGGAATCACAACCCTACAGGAGTAACAGGGGGAATCTCAACTCTACAGGAGTGACAGGGGGAATCTCAACTCTACAGGAGTGACGGAGGGAATCTCAACCCTACAGGAGTGACAGGGGGAATCTCAACCCTACAGGAGTGACAGGGGGAATCTCAACCCTACAGGAGTGCCAGGGGGAATCTCAACCCCAGAGGAGTGACAGGGGGAATCTTAACCCTACAGGGGGAATCTCAACCCTACAGGAGTGACAGAGGGAATCTCAACCCTACAGGAGTGACAGTGGGAATCTCAACCCTACAGGAGTGACAGTGGGAATCTTAACCCTACAGGAGTGACAGTGGGAATCTCAACCCTACAGGAGTGACAGGGGGAATCTCAACCCTACAGGAGTGACAGGAGGAATCTCAACCCCACAGGAGTGACAGGAGGAATCTCAACCCCACAGGAGTGACAGGGGGAATCTCAACCCCGCAGGAGTGACGGGGGGAATCTCAACCCTACAGGAGTGACAGGGGGAATCTCAACCCCGCAGGAGTGACAGGGGGAATCTCAACCCTACAGGAGTGACAGGGGGAATCTCAACCCTACAGGAGTGACAGGGGGAATCTCAACCCTACAGGAGTGACAGGGGGAATCTCAACCCTACAGGAGTGACAGGGGGAATCTCAACCCTACAGGAGTGACAGGGGGAATCTCAACCCTACAGGAGTGACAGGGGGAATCTCAACCCTACAGGAGTGACAGGGGGAATCTCAACCCTACAGGAGTGACAGGGGGAATCTCAACCCTACAGGAGTGACAGGGGGAATCTCAACCCTACAGGAGTGACAGGAGGAATCTCAACCCCACAGGAGTGACAGGGGGAATCTCAACCCCACAGGAGTGACAGGGGGAATCTCAACCCTACAGGAGTGACAGGGGGAATCTCAACCCCACAGGAGTGACAGGAGGAATCTCAACCCCACAGGAGTGACAGGGGGAATCTCAACCCTACAGGAGTGACAGGAGGAATCTCAACCCCACAGGAGTGACAGGAGGAATCTCAATCCTACAGGAGTGACAGGGGGAATCTCAACCCTACAGGAGTGACAGGGGGAATCTCAACCCTACAGGAGTGACAGGGGGAATCTCAACCCTACAGGAGTGACAGGGGGAATCTCAACCTCAAAGGAGTAACAGGGGGAATCTCAACCCTACAGGAGTGACAGGGGGAATCTCAACCTCAAAGGAGTAACAGGGGGAATCTCAACCCTACAGGAGTGACAGGGGGAATCTCAACCTCAAAGGAGTAACAGGGGGAATCTCAACCCTACAGGAGTGACAGGGGGAATCTCAACCTCAAAGGAGTAACAGGGGGAATCTCAACCCTACAGGAGTGACAGGGGGAATCTCAACCCTACAGAGTAACACTCTGGAGTACCAAACACACTGCAAGGCTCATCATATATTTGTCAACTTAAGAACCCCCAAACCTACTCGGATTCCCCTATCTGACCCCGAAGGCATTGAAAGACTCTATAATGTTACTTAGTCAACCTTTTGTTACCTACCAACATAGTCGGGTGTCCCGATAATGTCGCGTATATCCTCGCCAGTGTTGACGAGGCAGGCAAAACCGAGGTCACACAGCTTAATGGTTCCGTGCGGGAAGGGCTTGGTCAACAGGATGTTTTGGGGCTGCAAACACACATATCGTACTAATGATAATAGATGTGAGGAACACGCATATCGTACTGATAACAGATGTGAGGAACACACATATCGTACTAATGATAACAGATGTGAGGAACACACATATTGTACTAATGATAACAGATTTGAGGAACACACATATCGTACTAATGATAACAGATGTGAGGAACACACATATCGTACTAATGATAACAGATTTGAAGAACACACATATCGTACTAATAATAACAGATCTGAGGAACACATATCGTACTAATGATAACAGATTTAAGGTACTAATGATAACAGATTTGAGGAACACACATATCGTACTAATGATAACAGATTTGAGGAACACAAATATCGTACTGATAATAACAGATTTGAGGAACACACATATCGTACTAATGATAACAGATTTGAAGAACACACATATCGTACTAATAATAACAGATCTGAGGAACACATATCGTACTAATGATAACAGATTTAATGTACTAATGATAACAGATTTGAGGAACACACATATCGTACTGATAATAACAGATTTGAGGAACACACATATCGTACTAATGATAACAGATGTGAGGAACACATATCGTACTGATGATAACAGATTTGAGGAACACACATATCGTACTAATGATAACAGATGTGAGGAACACACATATCGTACTGATGATAACAGATGTGAGGAACACACATATCGTACTGATGATAATAGATTTAAGGGTACTAATGATAACAGATTTGAGGAACACACATATCGTACTATTGATAACAGATGTGAGGAACACACATAACGTACTGATGATAACAGATGTGAGGAACACACATATCGTACTAATGATAACAGATGTGAGGAACACATATCGTACTGATGATAACAGATTTGAGGAACACACATATCGTACTCATGATAACAGATTTAAGGTACTAATGATAACAGATGTGAGGAACACACATATTGTACTATTGATAACAGATGTGAGGAACACACATATCGTACTAATGACAACAGATGTGAGGAACACACATAACGTACTGATGATAACAGATGTGAGGAACACGCATATTGTACTATTGATAACAGATGTAAGGAACACACATATCGTACTAATTATAACAGATCTGAGGAACACATATCGTACTGATGATAACAGATTTGAGGAACACACATATCGTACTAATGATAACAGATCTGAGGAACACACATATCATACTGATGATAACAGATCTGAGGAACACATATCGTACTGATGATAACAGATCTGAGGAACACACATATCGTACTGATGATAACAGATCTGAGGAACACACATATCGTACTAATTATAACAGATCTGAGGAACACACATATCGTACTGATGATAACAGATCTGAGGAACACACATATCGTACTAATGATAACCGATTTAAGGTACTAATGATAACAGATTTGAGGAAAACACATATCGTACTATTGATAACAGATGTGAGGAACACACATATCGTACTGATGATAACAGATCTGAGGAACAAACATATCGTACTGATGATAACAGATTTGAGCAACACACATATCGTACTAATGATAACAGATCTGAGGAACACACATATCGTACTGATGATAACAGATTTAAGGTACTAATGATAACAGATTTGAGGAACATACAAATGAAACTGTTGTGTTATATAACTACTTGTTACAGTGACTGTAGGTGTGACTTTTTAATGAAAGGGGATTAGCAGACAAAACAGTGTTTTAAAACTGCAGTTGATCTTACAAAGACGCCCTCCTTAATTTCTAAAGAATAAATCAAAAGATTAAATCGTAAAACTTGCACGTCTTCTGTTTCAGATTTTATGATTTCTGGAGGATGTTTTCTTAGCTAGACAACTTCTGCCACTTAAATGGGTCTGTTTTAGAGAATATTGACCAAAACATCAGCTGTTATACAACCTAATCTGATAATTAGAGTCTAATGCAATCTTTTAAAATGATATACTGCCTTATTGATGAGGAATTAAACCAGGGAGTTATTCAGTATGTTGTTGATAAAGGCGACATATCCGCCATTTACTTCCATCCAGCATCATTTTTACATCAAACACTGCAAATGATTGATATTACGATTTCTGATGGTTAAACAAATATTGTGTCGGAATAGTGTTAAATAACTCAGCCTTTATTTCTGTAATTTTGTGTCACTCAACTTGAATTATCAGAGAGGTTAGCTACATATCAAATGTATCATGTTTTACTTTTTTTCCACATTGTCATATTTCTTCCCACTTAATATTTATGTGACTACTACTTTTTCAAAACAATCAAAAAGCTAAACTGCCACGCATCTACTTCTAATCGTTTGTCAATGTTCATATTTGCTACTCTTCCCCAAGATAAGAACACAAAAATGTCTAATGCTTTATCAAAGCTCCTTGATATCACAGCTATGTTCTGCAGTGTTTTAATTTCCATGCCAATATTAAGTAAATGGATATTTTTTCCGCTTGTCAAGACTGCTGTATACATAAATCAAGGGAACTTCCTTATGAAAATCATTGGTCAAATATCACGGAAATTCACTTCCTCAAATTAAGATATCAAATGTCAAAAAAAAATATCCCTGAACTGTATTATTTGAAATATGATTATATAGATGACATAAAACAAGATACCCATGGCTCGGGTCTAGCCCTAACCCTTAACAGCCATGCATCCAACTTCAAGGAATTATTTAACTGGATCATGCTGCAATAACGAAAATAAATAAACAAAATTGAATCAGATTTCATCCTGGATCATTGATTAATCAAATACTTTATACAGGGAAACGTTCGCCCTATCAAACTTTTGTCCTTTGCCAATAAAATCAATATTCAGCCCGTGTCAACCTTGCCCTTCACATTTAGTTACTATGGTTATTCCGTGTTTACTAATATTTACTGTTAGATAATTCACCCTCATTATGGATTGTGAAAATAGGCAAAATTAAACTGTGATGAAAAATTCCCAGTTAGACGAACGCATGGCCAAACAAAACCTCCCATCATACCTTAACATATTTATTTCCCTGTCCAAGGATTGCTTCATGATAAATCTGTTTTTTTTTAAATTTAATCAGTCGTTCAAGGCAATTACACTTTTAAAAGAATAAAAACAACAAAATTTGAATTCTAAATGTGTGTATTTAAGATTGCCACCACCATGAACTTTGTATTGAACATCACTTAGCGAGTGAGCATCGTCCAGGGGCTATCCAATAATCCTTCTCCATGTAGTAGCATTTAAGAAGAAGTTTGAAATATAAATTGTTGATAGTAAAACAAAGTATTGTTCAGCCTAATTCAAGATGGCTACCATAGCCACAATTTGGAAGTTTGCATCAATCTGAAGTACAATAGCTATAGATAATCCTGACGATTTTGGCCGTATGAGCTAATATTTACTGACCAAATAGCTATAGATCATCCTGATGATTTTGGCCGTATGAGCTAATATTTACTGACCAAATAGCTATAGATCATCCTGACGATTTTGGCCGTATGAGCTAATATTTACTGACCAAATAGCTATAGGTCATCCTGACGATTTTGGCTGTATGAGCTAATATTTACTGACCAAATAGCTATAGCTATAGATCATCCTGACGATTTTGGCTGTATGAGCTAATATTTACTGACCTGATAGCTATAGGTCATCCTGACGATTTTGGCCGTATGAGCTAATATTTACTGACCAAATAGCTATAGATCATCCTGACGATTTGGGTCATTTGAGCTAATATTTACTGACCAAATAGCTTACATAAATCAAACTCTGACAATATAGTTTACCGACCATTTATATAACTTTGTACACATATAATTTACACTGAAGTACAGCATGAATTGAGTGGAAACATCATGAAAACAGGAAGTTGGCAAAAGTTTACCTGGAAACATAGCTTAAGCATCTCTTTCAAGGAAATTGAATCTTAGTGAATGTGAGTGTAAGATTTCAGTGGCTGCTTTGATATCGTTCCCTGTGAACCTTAGATTAACATTCATTTTTGGAGGAAGAAACTCTCACCCTATCTCATTTCATTTGATCAGTTTACGACACAAAATGACGCAGGTTTTAATTCTAAAATTTGACTTTTAAATGTTACCACATCCTATTACATATCAAAATCACAAAGAAATCACAAAATTCAGAGATTTTTCTAAAACAGGACCCAAAGATATCAAGGATCATTTTATTGGTTTGAGTCGCCATTGTCTGTAGGTCATTTAATGGAGTGGTATTTTTTTCGTAATTTTTTAGAACACTAAATTAATTAATTAATTAAAGAAACTAGATTAATCTGTTCTATTTAACAAGCATTATTCAGGGCTTTCAGATTCTGCAATTCTAAATGATGCATAAGATTTCTTCACAATTAAGAAATTTAGAAGTTTTAATACATGTGTTTTCAAACCAAAAAGTCAAATGACATTTTTTTTTTTTT